TAGGCGAGGGCAGCGCGACAAGCGAAGCATGTCAGTGAGCGTGCAACCTGGGGATAGGGTAATGGTAGCCAACACAGAGAGTGAGTAGGGCGTGGGCACTGGTCATGGGAATCAACAGGCTAGCAGGATGGACAGACAGGGAACCATGCTTACCAGCAAGATTGAGGTGTACCAGGGTCTCTCGAAGTGGGGAGGTGGGGGCCGTGAGGAGATGAACACTGGGGTCCCCGACATGGGCGCAGTGGCTGAGGTCCAGGGCGCTCAGCTGGGGCGCGTGGCGCAGCAGGAGTCGCAGGGAGGCATCTGTCAGCTCTAGGCCTGCCAAGCGCAGCTCTGCTACCCCCTGCAGCCGCCCACGGCTCTCCGTTTGCCCTGGGCAGGCAGATCAAAGGTCAGCACACCCCTCTGCTTCCATTCCTGCACGTAGGCCCCCAGACCAGCTGTCTACATACCCATATTCCTCACCACCCCCTAAATCTGCTGCCACTGTGTGAGCCTCGGCTGGTGCTCTCTGTGTGGCTTGCTCTTGTCCTCATCTCATCTGTTCATTGCTCACACTGCCTCCTCAGTGAGGCCTGCCATGATTACTCTACTTGAAACTGTAATATTCCACAAGATTATTTTTCCCTGTTTTCCCGCCATCTAGCACAGTGATGGCGAACCTTTTGAGCTCGGCGTGTCAGCATTTTGAAAAACCCTAACTTAACTCTGGTGCCGTGTCACATATAGAAATTTTTTGATATTTGCAACTATAGTAAAACAAAGACTTATATTTTTTATATCTATTTTATATACTTAAATGCCATTTAACAAAGAAAAATCAACCAAAAAGATGAGTTCGAGTGTCATAGGTTCGCCATCACTGATCTAGCATATATTTTTTCCCCCTCTCCTTCCACTAGTGTCGGTTCCATGAAGGCAAGAATTTTTGTTTGTCTTGTTCTTGCTTTAACCCCAACAATTGGGACATAGGTGCTCAATATATAGTCACTCATCTAACAAATGACATCCCTACCAGGACTGCCATTGTAGGCTGCTCTCCCACTTTCCTCTCCTTCCATGATCAGTAAAGTCACCAACTGGATCCCTTTCTCTCCATTCCCCGTCACCACTCTGAGTCAACACCACTCTTGCCTCAACTCGTGCCCCCGCCTCCTCACTCACTCTAGTCTCGCCTCTTCTTTCCGGAATCCAAAGAGAGCCATTCTCAAATACAGGTGGGCCCACACCCCTTCTGTGCTAAAAACTCTGAGAGCACCTCAAAGATGTTCAATCTCCTTGGTGGAGCACTGCAGCTCCTACAAGGTCTTATCACTTTCTCAGCTCTTCACTCCTCTCCCTCACCCCCAAACACTTGGACCCAATTCCACAGGTGACCCTGCCCTGAGACTCTCCTGTGGCCACCTGTGCTCAGTCCGCTGCTGGCCAGTGTCACTGGCTTTCAGGTCCAACTCAGCCTTTTCCTTTATCTCCGGGGTACATGAGCTTACACTGCTCAACTCTGCACCCCAAGCGCATGGTCTGCTTCCCTTTTATTGAATTTACCATATTCCTGGCATTACAGTTTCTCTGTTTTTTAAAAAAATAAACGCCTATGGTGCACCAGCAGCCACTAATTGAGCCCTCACTGTGCGCCAGACACAGGCTAAATGGCTGCCTGCCCCTAGGCCAGTGGCTCTCAAACGATGTCCCTTGGAAGGCTAGTTAAAATGGATTGCTGGCCCTGCCCCCAGAGTTTAGGTGCTCTAAGCTGGGGCCTCAGAGTTTATTTTTCTAGCAAGTGATGTTGAAGCTGCTGGTTTGGAGACCATGCTTTAAGAAGCACAGCCTTGGGAGAGAAGCTCTCTGATAATCATTCCTGTTTACTGAAGAGAAAATGGAGGCTCAAACCATTAAGCAATCTGTCCAAAGTCACATGACTATGAAGTAACAAAGCTAGGACAGCAGGCCTGGTGGCTCCAAGTCCAAACACCTACCACCATGCTATATACCTCCCGGGCACCAGCCTAGCCCTTAGATAAACTAGATCAGATGCCACAAACTCATGAACCTAGCCTACGCCAGTGTTTTATGGAATCTGCATATGCTAAAAATTTTCTAAGTGACTAAGCCTACCAAAAGGACATTTAAAAAATACATATTTTTTTCTTATTGATTTGAGAGGAAGTGAGAGGGAGAGATAGAAACATCAATGAGGCCGAAACCGGTTTGGCTCGGTGGATGGAGCGTCGGCCTGCGGACTCAAGGGTCCCGGGTTCGATTCCAGTCAAGGGCATGTACCTGGGTTGTGGGCGCATCCCCAGTGGGGGACGTGCAGGAGGCAGCTGATGGATGTTTCTCTCTCATCGATGTTTCTGACTCTCTATCTCTCTCCCTTCCTCTCTGTAAAAAATCAATAAAATATATTTAAAAAAAAAGAAAAAAAGAAACATCAATGAGAATCACTGATCGGCTGCATGCCCGCCCCCCGCCCCCCCGCCCCCCGCCCAACACCACCACTGGGGATTGAGCCCGCAACCCGGGCATGTGCCAACTGGGAATCAAACCATGACCTCCTGGTTTACAGGTCAATGCTCAACCACTAAGCCACATGGGCCGGGCCTACAGGACATTTTTATTTATTTTTAAATGTTTTTTTTATTGATTTCAGAGAGGGAGAGGGAGAGAAACATCAATGATGAGAGAGAATCATTGATTGGCTGCCTCCTGCACACCCCCTACTGGAGATCAGGCCTGCAACCCGGGCACGTGCCCTTACCAGAATTGAACCCAGGACCCTTCAGTCCACAGGCCGATGCTCTATCCACTGAGCCAAACCAGCTAGGGCAAAGGGGGGGGGTTATAAAGAAACTAGAGGCCCGGGGCACGAATTTATGCACAGGTGGGATCCAGCTGGCCCCCCCATCGTGGCGCAATCGGGCCAGCTGGCGCGGGAGGGGAGAGATGGAGAGGAAGAGAAGAGGACACTGGAGGGTGAGCGCAGGGGGGGTGGGCGGGG